ACTACTATACCTGGAATAACAAACAGCAAAGCAGGGAAAGAATCTATAGCAGACTAGATAGGGCATTTGGCAACCATGAATGGATGATGGAGTGGGGGCACTTAGTGATGGAATATGATGTTCCATTAATTTCAGACCATAATCCAATGGTGTTTGAGTTACAGACAAATCAGAGAGACATAAAAATACCATTCCGATTCTTCAACACTTGGGCAGATCATAGCAAGTTTCAACATATAGTGAAGCAAACATGGCAACAAAAGCTGTCAAGATGGAAGATGCAAGATGTATGGATGAAGTTGAAGGCATTAAAACCATTATTCAAGCAATTGAATAATGAGGAGTTCAGAAACATAACACAGAGGATAGACAATGCAAGAAGTGAGTTAGTATGGATCCAGAAACAGCTGACATTAAAATGCACAGAAGAGTTGGTGGAACAGGAAAAGAACAGTCTGCAGATCCTGGAAAAATGGACTTTGATAGAGGAGAACATCATGAAGCAGAAGTCAAGAGCCAAATGGATCCAACTAGGGGATTCAAACACAAAATATTTTTCAGCAGTGGTCAAGGACAGAAGTCAGAGGAAAACTATTAAGGAAATCACTTCATTAAAGAATGAGAACCTTACAGACCCAAAGGAAATTCAGGAGGAGATTGTAAAATTTTATAAATCCTTAATGGGATCCTCTGCAAAGGAACTGCCAGCTATAAACAAGTTGAATATGAAAGGAGGACCTGTTCTGAATCAGCAACAAAAACTAGATCTGATAGCTCCAGTGACAGAAGAGGAAATCCAACAAGGCCTTGAGTCAATTGGTGAAGATAAAGCTCCTGGGATAGATGGATATAATGCTACCTTCTTCAAGAAAGCATGGGGGATCATCAAGGAAGAGGTTTGTGCTGCAGTATTGGAGTTTTTCAGAACAGGGAGGATGTACAAAGCCATAAACTGTACAGCTATCACATTATTGCCAAAGAATGACAATCCCAGAACTGTGAAGGAATATAGACCAATAGCCTGCTGCACTATTTTGTACAAATTGATCTCAAAGGTTATAGCAGCAAGGATTCAAAAAGTCATTGCTACTATAATAAGTGAATCACAGGCAGGTTTCATACCTGGAAGGAAAATTGGAGACAACATTATTCTAGCTCATGAGCTTGTGAAAGCTTATACTAGGAAACACATCACACCAAGATGCATGATCAAAATAGACCTCCAAAAAGCTTATGATTCAGTGGAGTGGATATATTTGGAACAAGTGTTAGGAGAATTGGGATTCCCCAATCAATTTATCAATTGGATCCTTGAATGTATGAAAACAGTAAGCTATACTATTCTGATAAATGGTGAGACATCAATTCCTTTCAATGCTGCTAAAGGTCTTAGACAGGGAGATCCTATGTCTCCATTCTTATTTGCTATAGCAATGGAGTACCTGAGTAGGAGTCTAAAAGAAATGACAAAGAAGGCAGAGTTCCACTACCATCCCAGATGTTCAAAGTTAGCAATCACACACTTATGCTTTGCTGATGATCTGTTACTCTTTGCTAGAGGAGATTTATCATCAGTAGTCACTGTCCAACAATGCTTCAACCAGTTCTCAGCTGCTTCAGGACTCAAGGCAAATCTGGCAAAAAGCTCAATCTATTTTGGAGGTGTGAAGAGAGAAGATAGAGACAGAATGTTACAAGAACTGGGATTGGTTGAAGGGGAACTACCTTTTAAATATCTAGGGGTCCCATTATCCACCAAGAAGCTATCTCTAGTCCAATGGCAACCACTTATAGAGAAGATTGTGGCAAAGATATCTGCATGGACAGCAAAGAAGTTATCCTATGGAGGAAGAGTTCAACTGGTGCAGACGTTTTATTTGGAGTCCAAGCTTATTGGGCTCAAATCTTTGTACTGCCCACCAAAGTCCTGAAAGTAATTGATGCCTACTGTCGTAGTTACATATGGTCTGGATACAATACTATCACCAAAAAAGCTCTAGTATCATGGGAAAGAGTATGTGCACCAAAGAGCATTGGAGGTCTGGGGTTAGCAAATCTACAGAAATGGAACAAAGCAGCTATTGCAAAGAACTTTTGGGATCTTACTCAGAAAAAAGACAAACTATGGATAAAATGGATCCATACATATTATATCAAGGACCAAGCAATAGAAAAAATGACAATTCCACAACAAGCATGCTGGATGACAAGAAAAACTATGGAAGCCAGGACAATCTTTGAAGGAAGACAGTGGAAATTCAAGCAAGAAAGAAGCATCACAAAGCAGATATATATTCAGATGATTGGAGATAAAACAAGAGTACCATGGAAGGACATGATGTTTAACAATGCAGCTCGTCCTAAAGCAAAATTCACTCTATGGTTACAACTTCAGGGCAGATTACTAACTACTGACAGGTTAGTAAAATGGGGTATGGAAATTGATACACAATGTGTTATGTGTGGAAATGCAGCAGAAACACATAAGCATCTTTTCTGGGAATGCAACTTTGCTAAAGATATCTGGCACATAATGAATCAGTGGACTCATGGCAAGATAATGAACACAAGTGATAGGCAGCAACATCAACAGGAGACAATTAGAAGAGCTAAAGGAAAGACTCGGACTGCACAGATATTGAAGATGATATGCACAGAATATGTTCATAGCATATGGATAGAGAGAAATATGAGAATTTTTGAGAAAATATATAGATCTAGTAAATCAATAGCTAGAGAAATTGCATGTATTTGTAGTATTCGAGCAGTAGCAAAAACTAGAGATATAGTCAATACTTTTAGAATCTAGTTGCATCAGAGAATAACTGAATGGCTAGCTAACTGTGATAGTTAAGCTACGGATTTGTAAAGACCTTTGGTGATAAATAAAAATATTTAGTTACCAAAAAAAAAAAAAAAGCCAAGGTGGTAATGAAATTAACTCGTATAATGCTTGAAACAATTTGGAATAGGTCTTCTTCGGTTATTTCTAAGAATGGAGGCATTAGGCAATGGAGACATTTTTATGTTAATTACCAAATGACTAGTACTTTTTACTTAATTATTCTCTTCAAACTATTTTTCATCATATCAACAGAGTGTTGTAATTAAGAAAACACAAATGATTAACATTTTCCACTTGGTCCCTTTTAAGTCATAGCCACATCTCAATCTTAAAACAATAAGTGACCAATAGTGAAAACATCTCTGGCTACCTATGGTGTCATTTTTTACCATAATCCTGAACAAGCTTAGTCAAACATGTACTTGTTGTTAGGACCGGAAAAATCAGGTGTCATGCGGAAGCTAGCAAAGCAAACCTTGAACGATGATAAATCATACAACAAAGAGAAATATAACAAAAGAGACACAAACATTTAACGTGGTTCGGTCAAGTGACCTACGTCCACGGCGGAGATGAGCAATCCATTGTAATAAAAAGAGAGTACAAAATATCGAGAGAACAACCTCACGAAGAGGCAAATACAAGTGACACACTAACACTTGTCCCGTAAAGTTCTCCCCCCTAAACAAGACTCTCAAGCCCCCTATGGCTACATTGTGGATGTTGCTGAATGTGAAGGAAGGATCCTCAATTTATAGAACTCCAAACCTTTTTCTACAAGAAAAAGGACTAGCCAAATATTGGAGATTTATGATTTAGAAGAAAAACCCAATTAAGGTAATTATATTGCCCTTTTCCTTCAAGAGATAGAAAAACCAAATATAGTATGAAAATTATGGCAAACACCTAACACTTGTTACATGACATACTTTGTAACAAAAGCAAAAATTTGATTCACACGATGATTGTGAGTAAAAAGTAATCGTAATTAATAAATACAAAATATATAAAGTAAAAAAGAAAAAATGAACTTTATTTTTATCATGTCCGACCTATGATATAATAATTATCTTATTGATTTTCGATTTATAGAAGTTACTCCTACTACTTGCATAATTGATTTAGGTACAAATATCAACAAGTTGGTGTAGGTAAAAAAAAAAAAAAAAAAAAAAAAATTAATCTTATGCATCGACAAACAAGTATTAGATTCATGCTTCGACTAAGATCAGATGGTTCAGAAATATAATATTTACATCAAAACTTTCGTTAATATATCCTAACTTTAACCGATATAAGAGCTCAGCTAGTTCTAAGCCAGTTTTTTAATAACCACGTTCATATGTAATTAAAATACTTTTAAAATTGTTATATATAAGTGTACGATAAGGTACAATTAAATTAAAAGGAAATATTAGCTGTTCAATTCACAACTATTAATTAATTAAAGAAATAAAAAATTGCACTATGATTTTGTTAGACGAAAAATATTATTTTGAAAAGGTGCGTATATTTTATCATAAACACCGAATTTTAAGCTTTTATTTAAATGTTAAATTCTTTTGGGAAAATGACCCTATATTGCTGCTCTCAAAATTATAGCCAAAAAAATGTAGATATTTTGTATATATATACATTTTGTATGTTATATATAAAAAATGGATCTTTACACAAATAGTCGGTCATATTCATTGTTTACTTATTCTAGCCATTTACACAAATTATACATTGATTAAACATGATTATACACATATAACATAAATTATGCTTGTATTATACCTCAACCGGCTATTTTTAGTTTAAGCGATTGGGTGGGCGGCTATTTGGGTTTATTCTTCTATAAAAATTATATAAATTATATACTTTTATCGCTACCAAATGTAAATAGTTTCTGACGCGAGCTAAATAATAATACCCCCAACTCTTTTTACCTTATTATTGGATTATCCCTGAAATGATCATTTAGCTAAACAAACGAACTTACTCTTATATCATGTCTACATACATTGAATGATACACTTTAACCCAAATTACCGTAAAAATACGAATCTATTCGAATACTACACAGAACCCAAAAATTATACTTATCGTAACTAAATTACTTATATATATATATATATATACACACACACGATTCATAATCAACAAAATGTCATCATCTTTACTTTCGAAAAACTCCATTAATGGTTAGTGGTTTCTTCTCTGTGAACATTTTTTCTCCATAATAGCGACATAACTGAATCATCATAAATATTTGATTTCGTCTTTAAATTCAATCATTTGAGTGAAAAAAAAAAGTATTTGATTAGAAAAAAATGGCGAGATTCGTACCGGTGAAGTTTAAGAGAGTAGCGGCGGCGTTTGATGAGGTGGCGAAAGCGAGGCTCTGCGAAAGCAGCGGCAGCGAATACTCTCCGGCGGCGGCGGCGAGCTTGACGGATTTATCGGGACTCGTGAATTCGTTTTTAGAAAGAGGAGAAGAAGAGATAATTAATAATGATGAGAATGAGAAATTAGAAGAGATTAATGGAAATGGTGAGAACTGTTTTGATGAGTTGGAAATTAAGGAAAATTTGAGGAATTTGTTAGGTATTGAAGAAAATTCAAGTGATGATTTGAAGAGAAGTATTAGTGCTGCTGTGGAAAATGTATTGCTTGAAGAGAATGACCGGAGTTCGCCGGAGTTTAAACGGCGGTTGATGACTCGATTGCGTGATCGAGGCTTTGATGCTGGTAAGCACTTTTTCTATTTAAAAAATAATATAAAATATAAATGACACTTTTTATTTATCGATATAGTCAAACTGTGTGAAGTTTAACTAATAATTTAAAATATATTTTGTTATCATATTGACATGAGATAAATTGCAACTTATAATATTTTTTGTGTAGTTTTTGAATATTTAAATTTTAATTTTAAAATACTAAATTAAACTAATTTAATTTAGCTTCAAAGTTTAGTCAAATTGACTCTCGATAATTGAAGCAGAGGGAACAACTTTTTTGCACAATATTAATGACCTGAAAAATAAGGCAAATACATACTAAAACAAGTTAAAATGCAATAGCAAAGATAATTGCATGTATAATTATTTATGTTTATAATAAGTCGACTTGCTATGGTTTATGTTGATGTACTGATATATTGTCTCTTTTTGTCTCGTTAGTTTTCTTGAGTCAAGGGTCTATTGGAAACAACCTCTCTATTCTATCGGGGTAGGGGTAAGGTCAATGTACACACTACCTTCCCCAGACCCCTCACCTGTGGGATTTTACTTGGTTGCTATGATTTCTGTTGATGGTATTCATATATTGTCTTTTTTTGTCTTGTTCGTTTTTTGAGCCGATGGTCTATCGGAAACAGACTCTCTACTCCATCGGGGTAGGGGTAAGATCTGTGTACACACTGTCTTCCCCAGACCTCTCACATGTGGAATTTTACTGAGTTGTTGTTATTGTTGTTGTTGTAGTAATAAGTGGAGTTGGTGACATGAAAAATAGAGGTTATCTATTATAACATATTAAAAAGAAATAACGTAAAAATTAGTCAATTGTTCTCTTATAGTAATTGTTTTCTTGTAATTCTTGTATATAAATTAAATCTTTATCTTATAGTAATTGTTTTCTTGTAATTCAATCTTACAGGTCTGTGCAAATCAAAGTGGGAAAAATATGGAAATCGTACATCAGGAAGTTACGAGTATATCGACATTAATATGGCTAATAATCGCTACATAATCGAGGTTTCATTAGCCGAAGAATTCGAAATAGCTCGACCAACGGCTTGTTACACCTCATTACTCGAAATTTATCCTCAAATATTTGTGGGGAAAATAGAAGAATTGAAGCAAATAGTGAAAATAATGAGTAGAGCTATGAAGAAATCTATGAAAAAAATGGATATTTATGTTCCGCCATGGAGAAGACTTGCTTATATGCAAGCTAAATGGTTTGAATCTTATAAGAGAACAATTAATGAGTTTAAATCAGATGATAATTATCAGAAGAATAGTTTTGATTATTCTTCTAATTATTCAAAGAAGAGAGCTGTTGGATTTGTGCCAATGCCAACAATTTCTTTCTATTGCAGAGAGAATATTATTGGTTCTAATAAGGGCATTAAAATGGGAAATTTGGCTGCAGCTTTGAATGGATGATATTTATGAAGAATGTAAGTTTTGTTTCATTTGTTATAATTAGAAAGCCATTCTTGTGTAGTAATTAAGTTCGCTTTAGTTTGCTATTTTTTCTATTTTGTAATTAGTTAGGAAAGTTGCAATGTTGTTTTAGTGGAGAAAAAAATACGAGTAATATAGTTCTCCAAGTTGGTCGAGGGTTTTAATTCTTGATCTCATTTTTTTAATCCCTCTCTAGTAAGTAATTAGTATGCTGCAAAGCAATTTGTATATATGTTATGTACTTATGATCGATCAAGTAATGGAGAATATTCAAAAATATTATGCATGTATCTATTTGTGACTCTTATATTTAGCTTCCAAGATGAACATATATACGGTCAAATTTATTTATAACAGATTCGTTTGTTCCTATACTTTTTGGCTGCTACAGTAATTTGTTGTTATAGAGGAAATATTTTATAACGTAACATAAAAATTGAATCCAAGAAGAACTTGGCATTTATAGTGAATGGTTGTTATATAGAAATGTTGTTATAGGGAGGTATGATTGTATTATTGAGCCGACAAAAAACAAATTAATCTTTTAAATCTTTTTCATTTGAGCATATCATTTACTACTATCATAAACTATAAAGCATGCGAAATACATATGTGTATGAATTAATCATGAGAATCAATTTTTCCCTCTGAATTTGCTTAAATATTAGGTCACGCTAATAGATAAGTCTATTAATATAATATTAATAAGGCTTAATATAATATTAGTATACGTTGATTTATAAAATAGTTCAAGACCGAGGGAGGAAGCATCTTGCTTAACTGTATAATTACATTCTCTGGATATTCTGGTTTTAGAACTTTCAGTCTAAAGTGCCGAAAGTTTTATTCTTTTTAGAAATAAGGTATATATATGGTGATTTTGTTGTTCGTTGGTGAAATAGCGTATGCTAGTAGTAAATCCAATTGACCATTTGATAATAAGTAAAGTAGGCCCCTTTTTTGAAAACTATAGCCTCTGTTTTAAAAGGCAGAATTGGGACTCGCCCCGGGGCTCGCCCCGGAGCGGAGCACTCGTAAAACGCCACTGGGCTTATGTGTGGGGCTTAGTTCCGTGAGACTTACGCCTCGGCCATTGGGACTTACGCCCCGAACACGCCCAACGCCCAGCGTACCGGGCTCGCCTAATAGAACTTTATACAATTGTATGTTACTAACCTTGTAAATCCTCAAATTTTCTTAATAAATCGTTGACTATTCAAAATTACTTTTTTTCTAATTATAAATCATTAAGTTTAGACTATTTTATGTCATAATTAAAGTAAAAATTATTGCACGTTATCCACTAAGACTGCTATGATAGTTAATTTTAAATAAATCTTTCATTTTAAAAGTATTTATTTATTAACTTTTGTATTTCTTTACTATATAATAGTCCATAACTTTTTTATAATTATTTTTCTAAATATTTTTTTTTCATGTTTATGAGATACTATACTTATTAATTTAATGCTCAATATTAGCAACTATTTACAAATAATTAGTTATCGTGGTATTGTATGGTGAATTATGTTTCACTTTATGAACTTGTTGAAACTTAAAAATGAACGATGCTTGAGAATCACATTTAAATTGTGAATTATGTTTTTATATAAATTCTCTTTCAAATACAAAGCATATTAAATAGAAGGAGTATTTAAAGAAAAATATCAAATTATAATATCGAAATTCTTTCAAGATTCATTACTCTTTAAGAGATACATATAAGATTTCGTATCTAATACATTACTTTATAAATATTTTAAATAGATTATTTGTTATAATTTTGTGATGTAATTTTATAATTATTTTTTATTTTATACTATCTTAAAATTCTTGAAATTAGTAAAATTTAAAGATCCGTGAGACTTAAATCAAAACTTGCAAACTGCATGCAAGATGGGCAGAACATAGTTGCATATTATGGTCGACTCAAGATGATTTGGGATGAACTGACCAATTATGATCAGATTCCAATTTGTAGATATGGTGGATGCAAATGCAATCTCACTGCAGAACTGGAAACAAAAACGTGAAGAAGAAAAGGTTCATCAATTTTTGATGGGTCTAGATGATGAAGGGTATGAAACAGTGCGTTTCAATATACTAAGTATAGAACCGTTGCCGAATCTTAACCGAGTCTACTCGGGGATTGTTCAGCAAGAACGTGTGATGTCGATGACTCGAACTAAGGAAGAAAAAGGGATTCCCATGAGCTTTGCAATGCAGGTTGGTGGTCGAAGTTCAGGGAGAAATGGAAGGGATAAAATCTGCCTTGTGTTTTATTTTATACATCCACTTACACCCTATGGCTTTCTTCCCATCAGGTAAGGGAACTAAGTCCCAAGTGTGATTGGCATGTAATGCCTCAAATTCTTGGGTCATGGCTGTTTGCCAAGCAGGGTTCACAGCTGCCTCCTCATAAGATGAGGGTTCATTGTTACTGCAGATGTCTCTCACAAGACTTTGACTTTCAAGATTCAGGGCATCAGGAGTGATATGGTGGCAATTAGAAAATAATGCACTAAGAGAAAAAGGTGCAGCAGAGCTAGTGGAAGCAACAGAAGATGATGGTTTTAGTGCAGGGAGTGAATGTAAGTAGTCTTGCAAATATGCAGGTGTTTTATGTGGTCTTTGTGATTTTCTTAGGATAACAGGAGTATTAGCAGACTGGTGAACTATTGGTGATGAAATGTGATCTGAGAGTTGAGATACACCAGGCTGTGGCAAGGGACAGGATGGACTCTCAGAGTTGTTGTTTGGTTCATGGTGTTGAGATGGGTTATGTGTAACACTAGGGCCATTATCACTTTCATAAGCAAAATCAGTACCTTCTTGAGTTTTATCAATGGATGGAACATTAGTAAAGATAGAGGGAAAAGAAGAATTATCAGGGGATAAAGCAAAAGGAAACACACTTTCAATGAAGACAACATCTCTAGATACAGATGTCCTTTTAGTGGCAAGACTCAAGACCTTGTATCCTTTGACTCCATGGGGATAACCAATGAATATGTGAGGAGATGTTCTAGGTTCAAACTTGTCTCTGTGTACTTTTGGTACAGATGGGTAACAAAGGCATTCAAAACTCCTCATGTGGGAGTATGTTGGTCTTTTGTTATAAAGTAGTTCAAAGGGAGATTTAGGGTGGCTATGAGAAGAGGGTATGGCTGTCCAACGGGACGGGACGGGACGGGACGAAATTAACGGGACGGGACGGGACGGGACGACATTTAAGCGGGACGGTGGCGGGACGGGACGAAATGGGAACGGGACAAACGGGACGAAACGGTCGTCCCATCCCGTCCCGCTAACAAACGGGATGGGACGGGATGGGACGGGACGGGACGGGACGGGTTCGTGGGCCTTAAGTGATTTTTTTTTTATAAAAAACGTCTAGTTTTTTGAAAATTACTATGTTTTTAAAGTTTGCAACGGCTAGATTTTTGACTTATTTAATAAACTTAAATGTTACTATGTTAGTATGTTAAAACGAAAATTAGAAAACTAAGTAAAGAATTATAAAATATTAAAACAAAAGACTTGTAATGAAATATTCTAGTAAATATAAATTTATAATAGAGTTATAATTTATTTAATATAATTTTAAAGTATTAACTATTAAGTAACTAAGACAATTCATAAAAATAATTCATCGCTTAGAGCCTTTTATTTTATTAATAGAACTTTCAAATCTCAAATACAAATATAATTCTTTTGAAGAGCACCTAATCTACGCAGTCACCTTCTAGGAAGGGTTCTGTTTGAACTAGGCCTCTTAGTAGCCAATTACAAATTATCATACTAATATTTGTAAGCTCTTATATAGCTTCTTTGTAACTTATCAATAATATCTCTTGGACATTCTACTGGCATTGGCAATGTTGATTGATGTTCCATGAGCTCCATGCCGTCATCGCTCCCAGTGGTAAGTATCTCATTGTATTCTTCTTCTTCCCTAGTGGTTAGTTTTTCAAAACCAAGATTTCTTCTTTCTGAATTAATCCAATCTCTGAATAAGACGGAAATCTCTAGACTGTCCTCCGCTAATGAATGTCTATGATCTCCAATTTGAAATCTTGCCGCGCTAAAAGCACTCTCCGATGCTACTGATGATGCTTGAATAGCCAGGATATCTCGGGCCATAATTGAAAGTGTTGGAAAAGCCTTGCCACGCTCCCTCCACCATGACAAAAGTTGTTCCTTGCCTTCTTCGTCTTTAATATTTTCCAATCCTTGATTAAGATAAGAATCAAGTTCATCATCAATAGAGGAATCAAAACCTGTTATATCATCCATATCTTCCCATAAAACTTCTGCTCCAGACTTAGAAGTAGAAGGAGCAGTTTCAGTACTAGTTGTATCCATAGATTTATATTTATCAAACATTGATCTAGCATAAGAATATATGCTAGCTTGGCAGTTTTCGAGAGATGGTTGTTCATTTTCTTGAATTTCTAAATTCTCATAAATTTTACGAACAAGTCCCTTTGCACCTCTTAGTTTTAAAGATGGGTTAAGTAGTGTAGAAATTAAATAAACTTCGGGAATAGGGAAAAAATACTTTTTAAATTTTAAAATCATTTCTTTAATGGCTGGTGCATAAGTTGGATTTTTTTTATACTTACCAAATACAACAGAAATTCCACAAATATACCATAATATTTGTGTAATAGTAGGATAATATATACCAGAAAATTGTTTTGTAGCATAATAAAATTTTTCTAAAAATTTAGTAAGCTCTCTGATCTCATCCCAATCAGAATCAACAATTTGATCAACAGGGTAAGCATTATGCATATTAAATACCTTTTGGATGGGCACCCGATAATCATAAGCAACTGTAAGCATTTCATAAGTAGAATTCCACCTAGTACAAACATCTTTTGGAACTTTTCTAAATGGAAGGCCAGCACTAGCACATTGTTGAGCAAATTCACGAATTCTACTTTGTTTATGAGCACGAAAAATATAGCCACAAGCATGTTGTATTTTACTACAAGCATCAGAAAATAAATTAAGACCATCTTTTACAACCAAGTTAAAAATATGGCATGCACATCTAACATGAAAAATTGTTGGATTAATTGGACAAAGTCTAGATTTTAAGCTATTTGCCGCGGTTGTGTTAGCAGAAGCATTATCTAAGGTGATAGTTAGAACTTTATTAACGAGTCCATAAAAATCAAGTATTTGTAGAACAGTAGTTGCAATATATGCTCCAGTGTGTTTTGAATCAACAAATTTATAACCAATAATACGTTTTTGCAAGTTCCAGTGATG